CTTGATTTTACATTATGTGTACAAGAAGTAATAAAACATTATTAAAAGTCTTTCTATCTCTCCGTAAAAACCATTCCTCTCTTTTACATACTTCTATTATATTCTACATTCCTAATAAGAGTATTAGGAATACATAGGCTTTCTTAAAAGTAGGTGGCGTAAACCTAGTAACATAAGTCCACCACTACATGCATTGGACTCAAATTTTGATCAATGTTATATGGCTCCTTGTACCTATTGTAGTTGAATAAATTTTAGTGGCGCCAAATTTAAATTGATCATTAACTTAATTTTCATATAATTTTACGTGAAACATTTAATTTAATTACCATCTTGGATGCTGTTGGTCCAGTTGATTGATTTATAAAAATGTAATTGTTCTAAACCTTGAATTTTGTTTAAATGTGTGCAATTACGTAGTCACGAGAAAAAGGTTTCAGTATTTCAAGGACAGCAGTGTTGTTCAAAATAAAGTTTCCAATTAGCTATGTAACAATGTCAAGATAGTTGTAGTACAATTGTAATTATTTTTACACAGAGTAGAAGGAATGTCATCTCCGAGATACGCATCGATCTCTAGCATATGCATGTTCGGTGGTCGTGACATAACTGCAACATAACCAAGAAAAAAGTTGTGGAGAAAAATATTTATTGTTTATGAAGTGATGTACAATGTCCTTAACGCGAGATAAAAATTTCAACGGAAACTTCGACCTGAGATGGAGCATCTTCCAAATAGAGAATATATTATGGTAGCCCCTGGAATAAACACTGTAGCGGTGCTTCTAAATATAGGATTTATTTTTAGGTTGGAGCTAGCCATAGTTTGAATCAAGAATCTGATCTAAAGCTGCATTCCTAGGAGTTTCTAATAGGTGTGAAACATGTCTATTTCTAATTGACACCTTTTACTTTCATTTAGTTTTTACCAATTTTATTCTCATGTTGTTTCTACACAAACTTTCTTATGTTTCATTGAGCTTTCAGTGTCTTGCACTTGACACAGGAATATTATACTTCATGAGTGTTTTGTCTGTGCAAAATAATTCAAATGCTGTTGTAAGTATACATAAATATAATAATGAAGGGTGATTGTGTTTTTTAGCAACAACAATGGCAAATGACTTAATAACAAGAGGAAAAGACAGACTGCAAGAAATTAGTATGAAATTAGAACAAAGCCATTTGGCATATTTACAAACGGATGATAGTCCATTAAAGTTGCAACAGCGTCACAAATTAGAAGGTAGGTAATGAAAGAATTAATGATTTATAAAATTACATCTTGATGATGACTTTTATCTTTATATTTATTTCAGGTTTTATTAAAGAATACCTTTGCCTTGTTCCGAACGAGAATAAATATGTTTTTCAAGAGACTGCAGATATATTGCATAGATCTGCAGCCACTCTACAAGACTTTAGTGGTTACAGAGCTGCAACTGCCTGGAGTGCAATTTCTTTGTACGCTGCCAATCTTTTGGCTCAGCCTTGGAGAAAAGAATATAGAACGTTAAGGGTCAGTACTACTAACATTTTTTACACAATTCTAACATATAATGTAACTAATCCATTTTCTTTGATCTCTTAGACCTATAGTGGATATTATAAACATGAAGTAGAGGCAAATTTAATTGGAGCAGAATTAATGTTTGAACAAATGGGATATAAACACACAGGATTGGGTGTTCTTACTTTGGAAGGTCCTATAGACCCTGATAAGGTATCCAGTGTAAGCAGGGATGCTATAGTAGCCTTTGTTGAGTGTCAGGTAATATCTCTAAACTATTAACATCAATGAAAACTCGTTTTTACTGAAACGTTGTATCATTTTCGATGCAGATATTAAAACAAATATGGGAAAACGTTTCTCAAAACTGTACTATCTCCTGGCTGGAGGTTTTAGAGTTCAGAGAAAATCATGTTGGGACACCGGAGCAGGCAATTAGAGCATTGAATTATCGTTTTCTCGAGAAGATGCACCAGAACCGCACAAAAATAGAGAATTACAGGGACTATCATTACGCCCAACCTACATGCATAGATGCAGCGTCACCGTCGGTTCCTTATCACATAATGCCTCCTAATTATAACATGCCTGTGTCGGCTTGTCAAACTGATTACAGATATATTGAAGACACAAACACGGCGCCCAGATATTTTCCACCGATAGAGCATGGCTTCATGAACAGATGCAGCGCTTACGGATGTTTGCCGCATGGAAATAAATATTTAAGCGATGTTCACGCAAATTCTTATTACGCTACGATGCCGACGTATTCGAGAGTGCCTACGGGTAGATTAATCGAGGTGGATATGCCTGTCTCTGTTACCAATTACGAAAAACTCCATAACCGGAAATCGTCTCATCGAATACCGGACTTAGATGAAGTAGATTATTATAGAAAGCAGTCCAGCGACGGAGACCATTGCGATTATGGGAAGGTTGATAAGAAAGCGAAATCAATCATTGATAGAAATAATTATGATTGGGACTTTGTGTACAGAAACTTAGAAAGTCTAGGTTACTCTAAGGACCTCGGAGATCGAGAGGATATCTTGCATAAACGAGATTGCGATTCCAGAACGAATAAACAAAAGATGTTGAAGCAAAACCATAACGATGAGAAGCACAGTGGATATCGATTCGAGAAAAAGAGAAGCATGAGAACCGATGGAAACAATATCAACTTATCCGTGACTAACGGTCGACATTATCATCATGATACGCTACCATTTAAGAAGAAGTCTTCGTCCTTCGACTTAACCGATTCGAACAGGTATCGTGTTGATGCAGCGTTCGAGAGTCACCTGTCTTCGCACAATAAGGATAAGAAGCATGGCAGTCAGACACTTCCAATTCAGCGGTCTCATAGATCCTCCGATCAGATCGCAAAGATTGCAGACACGTTGAAGAATTTTGAGTTGTCTCATTCGCAAAAGGAAGATGATATGGAGATGGAGATCAAGTGGAACTGTGCCACTTGTACATACCTTAATTCATCGTCCAGAGATATTTGTGAAATGTGTGGAAAGTCTAAACATAAAGGGAACGAAGATAAACCTTTAGCTAGCGGTGGGAAAGAGTGTCCAAAATGTACATTGGTCAATGAGCAGAATGTCTCAATTTGCGAAGTCTGTGGTACCAGTTTAAAAGATTCACCTACTTACATATAGAGAAATTATTCAAAATGAATATCTTCATTTAATATTCCATGTGTTTGAACACAAAGAGAAATGGTAAGTACATTGCCTGGATACATTACACTGTCCTGATATATAAATACGTGTAAAGTGTTTAAGAAAATTATGTTAACATTTATAATGCTCGTAATGATTCGAGTTAGTGTTAACGATTTCTTTTGATCGCTTTATGTAGGAAAAATTGAAAAAGTACTAGGACTATTCCACTCCAAGTGATCATGCTTTTGGACAAATGAGATTTTTTTTTTTAATTTTGTAAACTTTTAGATATGTATTTGCAAATGAGAAGTCCATAATTCGTTCTTCAGTATTGTTTTAATTCTTCAAATAAGTCTTGAAATTTTAATATATACTTTTTTTGTTACTATTCAGGATAAATAATTTTGTGATCATTCGATGTGGAATACCCTATTACCATATTAATCGAATTTACAATGTCTGAAAAAAGTATATAATGGAGATATAAAAATTATTTATTTAAAGTCGTTCGAATATAGTAGATTTGTGATATGGATGTATTAGTATTGTGGTAATATTGTGGTGGCCTATTACTTGTTTGAAAGAGGGTAAGAATGGGCATGTGCGGATACCATTTTCTGTCGGATCAAGTCGTACAAAAATTTTAGGTAAAAATTTCAGGTACTTTTGACGAAGTATATATTTCATTAAACGAGTTGCAACAAAGTTCAATGTCCAAATATATTTGGGTCTCTTTTTCTACGTTACATGTTTTTTTGTAACACGTTTTATTTACGTTAACATTGTTTTTTTTTACATAATTTTATTCCAACACTAAGAAAACGAGTTCACGCTTTCACCGAGTAAAAGGAGACTCAGGTGTAGGAACATAATTGAAATGTAATTAAACCTGTATTGTTGCTAAAGCTTTAATAAACAGATTTGATTCGACAATACAGTATTTAAACATATACGCGTGTTTATCTAAAGATTATGAATGGAGAAAGAATCATTGATTATA